TGTCGAACCAAAAGCTTTACCACTCCTATGCGCAGTAAGACAGCATGGCCCCTGGTTCCCAGATGAGGGCACGTTAGATTTAGAGCTCCGGGGGCAAGTAGGGAAGCTTTTTAAGAAGAATCTTAGGGGGTTCCTGTGCCCCTTGCTGTGTTGACTACATGGAGCCTGGTGCGAACAGCGCTGACTCCTTTACATGTTCCTACGGCTTCTAATCTGTTGGAACCCGCTCCTCCTCCTCCACCGTCTGCTCCGCTGGAGGAGCTGGCGTCCCCTGCCATAAAATTCCCGAATCCTGAGCCATTCTCTCCACCATCACCTCCTGCGGCTCAACAGGAGGAGCAGATACCTCCTTCTCCTTCCCCTCTCAAAGGGGATTTCTATTCCTCCCCTGGTAAAACCATCCACTTTTCAGCATTGCCTATGAGAGGGCCAATCTTCATGGGGATGACATTTGCTAGAACAATGGAATCTTCTAACTACCCAGCCTTTTCATTAGGGTCCACTGCTCAGGCGCATCCAATGCAACCCACACCTTTACAACGGACTAGTTCGCCCATCCAGCTAGAGCAGTGGCCCATTAAGCAGGATAAATCAAAACATTTAAAATCTCTCGTCCAGGACCAACTTAAAGCGGGACATACCTGAGCCCAGGGAACACTCCTGTATTCGTCATACCTATAAAGAACAATAAGTGGCGTTTACCACAGGACCTAAGAGCTCTTAATGCTATTATAGTCCCGATGGGACCTCTACGAACCAGCCTTCCCCAGCCGTCATTAATTCCAAGAGATTGGCCTTTGATTGTGATTGAGTTAACACGGGGAAGAGGACGTTTATGCTCAATTTTTCTACAGGTCCCGAGTGGTTCCCTTCCAGATGAGTTCGCCCACATCGTGTGCTGGATTCTACAAATGAAACGTCTCTCTCTCCAGCCGCTGCTGATGGGGGTCCCACCTCGACAGACACATAACACCATGACAGTGCCCAGGACCACGTGGGGTCAATTGAGACAACTAGAGACACAGGCCTCAGCTATGATAACACAACTGGGGGCGGCTCCCACCCCGGGGAACACTTTCCTGGCGTATTTGGCTATTGTCGCCCATAATAACAGCCAGGTAACCCGAGGGCTGCTTTGCAGCCTTTTCTCCTTTTATTTCTCCCAGGCAGTACAGCCACAGCTTACTGGGTTCATGTCTTACACTCACCTGTTTAAGCCCCTAACATGGTGGGACTGGGAGATCCCTCTGTCTACCAATGTCTCGACGTGGACTGGAGGAGTATGGTTGCCTCCATGTTCCTGGCAGAGAAATGGAACAGACTGGCTGAATATCGCAGTAGTTTATCATTCCTCTGATCCTCCTGTGGATGTTACCAAATTACATAATACAACATGGTGCATTCCCACGACCACCCAAAAATATATTATCAACCGGTCGTGCTTGGTCTTGTCACTTTGTCTCTTATTTTCCAGGATGGATCCAGCAATTGATGTCTCTTCATAATGGCTTTGGGAGGTCACAGACTGAAGTTTACATCTTTCTCCTACTCACACTCCGTCTCTAATTTTAAATAAAAAGGGGTACATGTGGGGGCTGGGCCTAGAAGAAAGAAAGGATGGGTGGAGAGAAAGAACATGAGCAGGTGAATGGTCAGGTGAAAACACCTGCCCGAAGCTGCTTGTTTGCTGTATGCAAAGGTCATCTGAAAACAGCTGACCTGTATGGACGTTGTTAAAGAAATTAGCAAACGGCCCTGACCCTTTGCACGTGTCCTTGGAAATAAATGTGGGGAGGAACTTAGCTGAGGATGCCATTTTCTCCTTTAGATTTTGGTCTCTCCTCCTCTCTAAACACTGTTTCGAGTAATTATTGACTCCTTCACTACCATGCTCAGGAGCGAAGAAGCAGCCGCAACAATCTGGAAGTTAAACCACAGCCACATTGCTACTAGACTAGATAATTTTGATAAAAGACAGTGAGCTTCCACCAAGTATTACCAATGTTACAAAAGTGGGAAGACAGGTCCCTGAAGTGGGACCACCCAGCCTTGCTCAAAAGGGCACCTGGCTGCTTAGTTCTACCTTATTTTCCCAACGCATTCCCTGAGGATCCCCAGGGTGTGGCTTCCATGCTATCAAGACTTTGTTAACACTCCCTCAAACGGTTGTCTATACATGTTGTCACCTTTTTGCACGTCCTGTCTGTTCCACACATTTTAGCCACTAATATGTTCTCTGCTCTTAGACTGTATGTTCTTTGAGAAGAAGCTTTGCACTCTATGGCCTGCCTGATACACAGCAAGACCTCAGCAGGTGTTTGTGGAATAAAATAATTGTAACAGCTCCTAAATAGAGAGGTTAAATATGTATAGGGACATCACAGTCCATGTGGGAGGTCTGGATGGTTTTTCTCTCTCTGTATAGCTCCCTCAAAGCATCCTAAATAAGGCTCTGTGAGAAGTAGGATTATAGGAGATTTCCACTTCTTCATATTCTGCATTTTCTACGTTAAACACATAACTTTAATAGGATATTTAAAAATTATAAGCAAAAATAAGTAAAAACTATTATGTGAATGATTCTGAACTCGGAATGGGGTAAAAAAATCTCTAAGATCACTGAAATGACTGACTGATCAATTTCTTAAAAATATAAAACTTCACATCAAAACAATATAAAGCCCAAATCAATTCTATGGACAAGGTAGAACTGCCTGGCAGGAGAGGCAGAGCCGCTGGCCGCGCACACAGACACAGGGAACTCTGATGAGGAGGAGCAAGGGTCCACGCCCCCAGGGCCAGTGGGCAGTATCCAGAATCATCAAAAAAAAAGGAGGGGGCTAGAGGAAGACACAACTGGGCACTGGGGCTCATGGCTACACTGAAACGACTGAGGTCATTAAGTGGGTATGTTTCTTTCACCTGCCACCATAACACGAGATTTAGTGTCTTCCATGCAAACAGTCTGCCTGCCCTCTTTAAAACTGCCTCCCTTCCAGCGCTATCCCCCCACCCCCACAGCCCCTCCTGCCACCTGCTCAGCGGCTTGCCCGCAAGCAACAGCATCACCAGCCTGCACAGATTACCTATTCGGCAACCTGGTGACACATGTGACGTCGGGGCTCAGTATGTCTGGACCCCTGTTCCCTCATGGCACAACATCCTATCTCTATTCCCAAATCCCAGTCATCCTCCGCAAGGATGGCCGTGATCACTGTTTTCAATAGTTTGAAAGGTTGACATATGAAAGAAAGATTTGACTATTTCTGTGTTGCACCAATAGCGTAGAGAGGGGGCCAGCAGTGGAATGAGCATTTGACAAACTTATGTTCAGCACAGGAAAGCAATTTCTAACAATTCTCTGCTGGAGCAAAGAAGTGTCAAGGGCCCAGAGTAGGATGTGGTTTCCAGCTGTCTTGGTATGAGGGTTGCCTTCCCATGGACACACTTCCAGAGCCACCCCTTCCAGGGTCACCATGGCCCAGAACTACAAGTCCTGCTCTTGATGCCATCTGCCCAGATGAGGGGAGAGTGTCCAGCCTAATGTGATCCTCAGCCTGAAGCCCTTTTTATAACAAACACAGGCCAGACTTCATTCCCCTGTGAAGCTCTGGCCTGTGAGGGCACGGCCACTGGGCTTGAGCACGTCACAACAGCATGCTGCTGCCCTGGCCACCCTCTTCATCCACTGATATTAACTTTAAATGATACATTGATTTCAAAAATGAAATCCACTGCAAAAGGACAAGACTTAACTTTGAGAGGCACCCCAAGGCACCTTAGATGACGGCAAGACTTGCCGTAAAGTATATTAAGTCACCCCAAGGTGATTTCGGGTAGACCCATGCTCATTGTTCATCTTGGATCTTTTTTCATTACGTTTGACTTTTTTAAACGGTCGCACTACAATATTACTTATCTTGATTGCTGAGGTTTTTGGCAACCCCTTAAATTTTGCATCCATGACAAATAAATGCCTCAGTGTCCTCATCCAGCCAGCCCCTCGGCCCTGCTAATGGTCAAAGGACAAGCTACATCAAACACTACGAGGGCACACGCGGCGGTGGACACAGCCCCGCAAGGAAGGAGGCCAGGTCCCCTCCGGCCACTGAAGGGGCAGTTTGGCCTCCACCGGCAAGGGCAACGCCCCCCCAGCATTTTCACATAATGACTTTGCAGAGCCGTGAGGTCCGGACGAGGGTCTCCGGCTGCAAATCAGGAAAATCTTCGCAGGTGGCTCTGCCCACCCGGCCCACCGCGCAAACTCTCTTCTCCCGCCAAATGTGCAAATTCCAAATAGGGCGGCCTCCTGCCCGCAATTTGGCGCCCGCAAGCCGGGCTAATCACGGTGTAGCCCTGTTCGTGAAGACCAATAGGAGCGCGCATCGTCAGGCGGTGGGCGGGCCACCGGCAGCCGTTACCCGACAGGCGCCGGGGCAGCATTCCCTGCGCCATTAGCCCTGAGGCGGCTGTGGAGATCAGACGTCCCACGTGTGGCACCGGCGGTAGCGCTGCTCCCAGGGGCGACGGGCGTGGACGCGGGGCGGTAAGCTGGGCAGCGAGGTGGGGCAGGGCGCGGCCGCTGGGCTTGAGCAGGTCGGGACGGTGAACCCCCGTGTGGCCGGGTAACGGCCTGGAGGCCCGTCCCGCCGACTCACGCGGGACGCCAAACGGCGGTGCGGACGAGGCCGGCGAGGTGCGGGAGGGGCCGTGGCCTTGCGCGTGCCTCAGGCGGCCCCGGGGTTCTGAGACCTTCACAACCGTTCCAAGAGGGCTTTTCCGGCTCGGGTTCGCCGGCGTGGAGCGCCCTGCACCCCAAAAGCTTGTCTAGCTAAGTCCGAGCCCTGCCTTTCCGAGGCGGCTACTTCCCCAGGGAAAGATGGGAATCCGCTCCTGTGCGTGCGCGCACCAGACTGCAGCAGGCTCGGGTGCCGCGGCCCAGACCCGGCCAGAGCGAGAAGGGAGGTTGATTGGTTACCCCAGTGCCCGGCCGGCCCGGCCAAGGTCCTCAGCTAGTGTGAAGGGCCAGGAAGGTTTCCCTAAAAAGTGGGTAATGGAGATGAGGTCTGAAGGTTGAGCGGGAACTAAAGGTTAGGTAGGGGGTGCGGGCAGGCGAGAGCACGCACGCGGCCCGACTTGTTCAGGGAAACGGAAAGGCCGGTGTATCTGGAAGACAGAAGTGCCCCGCACCACGCAGAGTCCAGAGCGCTGTGGGCTCTTAAGAGATTTACTGAGATTTTAATCTATCTGAAAACGGTGACAGTCCTTTGCTGAGTTTCAAGCAGTAGAGGGAAGTGGTCAGATAAACATTTTGCAAAGAGTACTTTGGCCAAATGGGAGATTCTTGCCGTAATAGCTGTGAGAGTTAGGGGTTAAAATTGGCAAGACCCGGTGAGGATGAGGGGCGTGTCAAGGGAGAGTTCTGCAATTCACTGGGATCGAGAACACTGGAGGAACTAGCTTGGTCAGTGAGAACTCCAAGAAGAGAATAAAAACGGGGTATGTGCCTAGAAGTGGAATTGCTGGGTCATGTGGTCATTCTGTATTTAACTTTATGAGGGACTGCCAGACTGTTTTCCAAAGTGGCCGCAACATTTTACACTTCGACCAGCAGTGGATGGAAGTTTTGATTTCTCCATATCCTTGCCAACACTTATTATCCATTATTATTATTGCCATCCTAGTGGATGTGAAGTGGTATCTCGTTTTGCTTTGCATTTCCCTTATAACTGTGATAGATATTGAGCATCTTTTCACGTGTTTCTTGGCCATTTGTGTATCTTTGGAGAAATGTTTATTTAAGAGCAAGACCCTGTCTCCAAAAAAATTTTTTTAAATTACATGAACCCCGTAAACCTGTAATCCCAGCTACTCGGGAGGCTGAGGCCAGAGGATCGCTTGAGCTCAGGAGTTTGAGGTTGCAGTGAGCTGTGATGACACCACTGCACTCTAGCCTGAGTGACAACCAGACCCTGTCTCAAAAAGTAAATAAATAAATGCATGCATACATGCGTACATATGTGCATTGGGGGTTGAATACTTCCAGGTTAGCTAATTACTTCACATCTGTGTATCTTTTCCATTCGTATGTATTATAAAAATCTAGAACTTACGTGTCAAAATGAACTCATCATCTTTATTGCTCCTCACCCAAAACAAAATAACATTAAAAACATAAAACTATTTCTCTATGTAGGTTCCTAGTTCAGTGAATATAAATCAATGATGATAATTTCATTTTTATATAAAAGACATCTAGTTCTATATCATTCCTTTCCTTACCCTTTCTGTCAAAATCAATACTAAAAGAGTCCTTCCTCCTGTGACTAATCTCCCACTTGCTCATCTTTCAGATCTCAGTTTAAATGACATTCTCAAAGGCCTTCACTAACCCTTAGACTGTTGAATCTGTGTTTTTATTGAGCACACCACGTGATTCTTACATCGGGCAAGTTTCGAGAAAGGTACTCTATAATAAGATTTGTATGCTCCCTTCCCCTCTTCCCACCCCACTTTTGGAAATTGTATGCCTATTATGCTTCATAGAGGCAGAGACTGATCACCTGTATGTCCTCAACACTTAGCAAATGACTTAGCAAATAGAGGTTCAGTCATTATTGAATAATATATCAAAGAATGATTCTCCAGAGAAAGGCTTTCATTCCTGAAAATGGAAATGTACTTGCTTGGTAATAGGGTAGGTGTATGTTTAACATCATTAGAAACTTACAGTTTTCCAAAATGGTTTTAACAATTTGTATTCCCTCTAGCAATGTGTAAGAGTCCCAGTTTGTCCACATCCTCACCAATATCTGGTGTTACCAGCGTTTTTAAAAGCCATTCTAATGTGAAGTGGCACCTTGGGTGGTTTAAATTTGCATTTCCCTGATGACTAATGATGTTGAGAACTTTTTGATACACATGAGAACCATTCATATGTTCTGTGTGTGTGGGTGAAGTAAATGCTTGACTTTTTCCCTTTTATATTAGATTTTTAAAAAATCTATTTGTACAA